CAAACGTCCCAGAAATTGCAGACCTTCGTCAATAAGTGCCTTAGGCGAATTTTAAAAATCAGTTGGACTGACAGGGTAACGAACGAGATGCTGTGGGAATTAGCAGGCGAGGAACCAATCATAACTCAGATCTCAAAGAGAAAGTGGAGATGGATAGGTCACATCCTAAGGAAACCGGCTAACAACATCACCCGGCAGGCACTACGTTGGAACCCTCAGGGCAAGAGAAAGAGGGGTCGTCCCAGGAACTCCTGGAGAAGAGGTGTAGAGTCCCAAATGAGAAACTGGGGCCACACTTGGGCCACTTTAGGAAGATTTGCCCAGGACAGAACCCGATGGAGGACGGAAGTGGTTAATGGCCTATGCTCCAACCGGAGCTAAGGGAATATAATAATAATACCCCTGACCCTGCAGGAGGCGGGGCCAACGGTTTGTTCGTCCTTATCCGAGAAGACTAGAATATCTATCTATTTCTTGATTTTAGAAAGGTAGCAAATCCTCCTCACTTATATTAAGACCATGAGTATCGGTCCGGCCGGGGCTCGAACCCTCGACCTTCCGCACAACACAATCCGGCGCTCTAATCAATTGAGCTAACCGGGAGGCATTTGCTAACATGGATAAGTAAGAATAGCTTGAAACTTCGCCGCATAGAGTTTTTCGCAGATAGAGGCGCCTTCTCACCATCCATTTGCGTTCGTGGAAAGTAAATTTTTGTAGGTCATTTTAGCGTATTATCCTTTCTAATATTAGACTATGGGCTTGCGAAACGTTGTCAATTTACAGGTTATGTGCTCGATCTATTTAAGTGCTTAACCCTATTTACGTCTCCGATGTAGATAGGGCCAAATACTTAGACAGATGCGTATTTTTGTGGTTTTGGCAATTCCAATTTGGTTTTAAGTGAAATGAGTGCATAAAAGCTTCCCTAAACAAATCTAGAGGGCCAGTTAAACGTATACGGTTGCCTGGAAAGAACACTCAGGGATACAGCTTGGGGTAAACTCCAACAAAATCGTAAGTACCGAATCCACTGGACATATACCAAATATTTTAATGAACGCAGTACACTTTTAAGTTTAACAGCGCACATATATTACTACAATTTTTTAAAAGTCAGGAATCGGTTAACTGCTAAGCTTTTTCCAGGCAAGAAAATCAAAATTTTGTTTATCGGAGACCCAAGAGACATGAAGTACATGAAGAAAAAACCCTTGAGATTGTGTTAAGCAAGATGTACGGGTTTATTGCTGTCTAAGACCTTTTTCGATATCGTTTAATCGATAGTTTAATGTAATGTGTTATGTCAATGTCAATTTACACCAATTTGCGACAGCTTTATGTTCATGTTCCGAAGACCCTGCACGGTCGTAATTCAGAATTAACCGCGCGTAATGGCGTAACGAGTGATGATGTGAAGTTTAATTGTTTTTTCAGTCAACGGTGTGGACGGAGGAAAAAGCTGTAATGCGAACAATAAATCTGTTGTTTCGACCACATTTTTGAGTTGAAGTACTCTCAGTAAAATTTCAAGATCACAGCTTTGTATGAAAACTTGTAATGCTGAATAAATTTGCGGTTTCGATTGGTATCTTTTGTGTAAAATAGGAAAGATGAAATTTTGAAACTCTTGAGGTTGTTTTTTCTGTTGACTTTGTTTTCTTTCAACGGAAATAACCGGAGGACAAATATCGACATAGACGGGGTTTATTTAGTAAATAGACCCCTTCGGGCGGCTGGTATGTCGGCTGATAATGTCCGCGGCTGAGAGATTGTCTGAAAAATGAATATTTGGCAGAGAAGCGAAGCTTCGAGGGATTATAAGAAATTTTGAGGACGATCTCTCAGCCAAGGACATTATCAGCCGACCTACCAGCAAGCCAGAACGGGGTTTATTTATTTTATAACCCTCCCATTAATTTTCACATCGCAATTAAACTGCGCGTAAACAGTAAAAAAGCCTGTGGTGATCTGATGGCAAATGCGCGTGATTGACGCAAACAAGCAAGTACATTTCATTGGTTTAAATAACTTTTAAATAAGCGTGATTGGACTAAAAATTCACAAGCTCTCATTTGAAATTAACTCTCATAACGCTCCTTAGATCAAAAACTCGAAAACTTGGCGCTTTTGGTTCACATTTTCCGACGTGCGGTTAAAAAACTTGAGTAGAAAGCTCCATAATGTCACTATCGCTAAAAAACGAGTTTGGTTTCCTTCCATGTAAATAGGAGAACGGAAAAGTTGAAAGTCTTGTGTTGACTATGTTTCTTTTTCACGGAAAATATCGGAGGACGAATATTGACGCAGACGGGAATTATTGCGTGATAACTGTCCTGTAATTTTGCACTACGTGACGTAAAGTAACCACTAAAATCGCGCCAAAATCAATGGGTGGGTTATAATGTGTGATAACTTTTGTAGTTCGCGACGTGGAGAGGAATGACAAGGACACATCGAAACCAGTTGCTAGACATTTCAATTTACCTAATCATTCTAAGCAACATATGGCAATCTGCGGTCTTTCCTTACACTTAGGTAGCATGGTAAGCCGTAAACCTCTTGAACAAAAGCTCATCTTTCAAACCAGCAGTCTAAATCCCACAGGTATCAACGAACGCTTTTCTTTCATTAATTTATTCGTGTTTTTCTTGTTGCCATGTTCCCACCAATCGCGTAGCTCCATTTTCTGCCTTTAAAAGCACACACAACCCACAATTCCTCTATTCGCTCCAACGAAGGGCTAACGCTCGAAACGTCAGCTTTTATAACGGTGGCCAATTTACTATTTCAACTTTGTTGATATATTGAAATTATTTCGTTACCCCCACCGACGCAGCCCCAAACAGTTTCTTTAGAAACTATCAGCCTTTATCCTATAAATATAAGCCGCGTAAGATTAACTGAACGATCCGCACGAAGACGGCACAGAACTGGTGGACAGCGATACCAAATGTCTCGGAAACACAGACTGGTATTCAACTTTAAGACCCGTTACCAGGAAAGATGGCGCAACTTTAAGACCCGTCACAGAAAGAGCGAATGTTTCGCGTTTGGAAGGGCTTTTACACGGTGAAAATGGACGTCTGAGAAAAAAAATTGTATCTTTGGTATACTTAATATATTTACAAAACAGCTACCTGAACAGAAAATGTACGTTTTGGGGGTTTACATGTTCTTTCAGAGCTCGTAAATGTAATTTTTCCTTACGATTGTATGATTTAATTAAATCGATTTATCATACATTTTAAAACGTGTTTGGACATCACTGGAAATCGAGCCATAATACAGTACTGTTCATTATTATTGTCTATATCAGCCATGTTGTGCTACACCTCAGAAATATTGAAACTGGAAAGGCATGTATCGATTAAGTAAGATTTACGGGTTCCGCAGTGTAAAGCATCTTTTTTCAAAAGCGTGCAATTTTTAGATCGATTTACGGCGAACT